AGAACCACTGGTGCCCAGATATATATTTCTTAATTACCCTTCCCTCTTTTTAGGTTATTTTCTTTATGCTATTTTCAAATAATATACTTCTATAATATCATCCTCATCATCTACTTTTCCCCATTTTCTACCTGCTGCCCCTCATTAACAGTTCCTTCTTCACAACTGTGCCAAATTTTGTATTTCTAGGTCTAGACTCTGCATATGAGTATTCAACATTTGCCTTCCTGAGTTTGGTTTACCTCGCTTAGCACAATGTTGTCCACTTCCATCGATTTTCCCTTAAATGACATACTGTCATTCTTCTTTGTGGTTGAATACTCCATGGTTATATGAATCATATTTTATGTAGCCATCAGTTGTTATATATAGTTTATATATGTTTATCTATATATATATATATATCATCAGTTGGTGGGCAGGCACCTAGGCTACTGTAGTGCAGCCATAAACATGAATGTGCAGGTATCCCTCTTGTATGTTGATTTACACTTCTTTGGATATATGCCGAAAAGTTGTATCATGAAATTGTATGGTAGTTCTATTTTTAGTTTCTTAAAAATCTCCACACTGATTTGTGGCTACATAATTTTTATTCCTACCAACAGGGTATAAAGTCCCTTCCCCCTGCCAATATTTCTTGCCACTTTTCTTGATAATTTCTTGATGATTCTCTTTGGCTGAGATGGAATCTCTGTGTTCTTTGATTTTCATTTCCTTTACGGACAAGGATACTGAATACACATTTATGTCCATCACAAATTTATTAATCATTTGTACTTCTTTTGAGAGCTGTCTGTCCCATTCATTTGCCCATTTATTAATTGGATTACTTGTTCTTTGAGCTTTTTATACAGGTCCTAGGGTTGTGGCTTTCCCACCCCACTCCCCAGGGTTCAAACTCCCAACTTCACATTCTCACTAGATTTTTTTGCTCAATAGTTGGCACTCTACCATTTAAGCTACATCTCTACTTTCAGCTCTTTGTTGGGAGAGGAGAGTCTCTTACTGGGAGGTAAGGAAGAGTTTTTCAAATTTGTCTGTTCATCGTGGCTTTGAACCATGATTCTTAAAGCTCACTCTCTTGAGTGTGAGCTATTAGCGCTAGTAGTCCTAGGGGTTTTAATAGAAATAAACTTGGGCCATTTTAAGCAAATGTATATGCATTACAAAATAAAATAGCATTAGCAACAACAACAAAAACCAAAATGAAATTTGTTATAAGTATTCCATGGGTATCTAAGGGAATACACAAAGATGAGTACAGTTCAGCCTCTTGGATAGTCAAGAACAAGGACCTAGAAAGGTCAGAGAATCTAATCTGGTACTCTCTCCTCTTCTGCTCTCCCCCACACCGGCTTCCTTCTCTCTTGCTACACTGACTAGTTTTCTTGGGTTCAGAGTTGTTATGACTTTTCTTGGTTTCTGAGTTAAGGCTTTTTTAAAAATAGCTTTTAAGTATATTATAGTCCCAGCATTGTCTGTTTCAAGTGGGAAATCTGATTGATCAAAGGTGGTTGAGTCATACAAATGTAATTACCTTGTTTCAGTACAGACAATGTAACCAGCCTTTCAGCCTTCTGGCTTCCAGGGCTTTCTCTTTAGATGAGGTAGCTCTTACAGGTAGAGGGGAGGTGTTCTTTAAAGAATTAATCTGACCCAATAACTTATAACAAATACATTGAGGTTAATTGAAAATAAAGGGATCTAGCCTGTAAAAAATATTTACATCAAATAGGATAAAACATCTGTCATCAGAAAAACAATGTTCAATATCATTCAGCTAACAAATATTTAGTGAGTTCCTCCAGAAACATAAAAATCTCCTCTACTATTATTTGAAAAAGTAAATAGATTTTTCTTATCTTACCACTAAAGAGCAAGAAAATGAGAATATCCAAGTAAAGGACCATATTTTTCTTCCCCAAAATGAGCCTTTGGCAACTTTATTTTGAATGCATTGTCCTTGCTGTCTTCATTAAGGGCAAATTTTCGGAAGTTCATAGACATGACATTTGGTAGTCTTGACTACAGGATCTAAGGCTGACTCAGCAAACAAGATTGACCTGCTTAGTTTGTCTGAATTTATGAGTTAATAAATCCATGTGAAGCCACTAGTAAGTAGGAGACAGCCTGGAAATTATTGCTTAGAAATATGACTCTAAGAAGAACTTTTTGACTCAAACCGGAGTTGATGTGACAGTTCTCTATAAACTGTCTTTGTTTTCCCAGAATACTAGAAACACTCCAAGACTAAGTAGAAAACCTTAGAAATATGACTCTAAGAAGAACTTTTTGATTCAAACCGGAGTTGATGTGACAGTTCTCTATAAACTGTCTTTGTTTTCCCAAAATACTAGAAACACTCCAAGACTAAGTAGAAAACATATACTACATTATTAACCAAATTAATTTAATACTCAAAGCACAGGGGGTACTTTATCAAATGATTGCTTTCCGATTGTATAGCAGCTGATAAGCAATTAAAGCAGCTAATCAGTTTCAGACATTTACTTCCTATAAAGTGTTATGTCCAGTAGAAGGAATTCTGCCTTTCCTAGGAAGCAAAGTAACTTTAAAACATTTAACTTCTCCCTTTAACTAGCTGAAAAGATAGATTGTCAAAGCTGTAAATATATTGTCTTTGAATATTTTGACGCATTAATAAAATGATAGATAGTCTTCCCTTTATACATACCTGATTAACACTTTTACAATGGGGAAGGAGTGTCTTTTTTTTTTTTTTATAAGTTTTAGGCTGATGTTGTAAAATGTTCTGCTTCTGGGACTTATCTCAGCTACCTCTACCCTAATCATTTTACTGCAAATCTGTTTCTTGGCCAAGGTGTCTGAGGGCTGAGAAGGTACAATTTGAGCCTTTAGTTATTGAAAATAGGAGTTCAATTTCCTCAGTGAAACATTTGGTTGTAATCTGAGCCTACACTAATGCTTAACAGTCAGAATATGAGAACTGAGAGTAATGTGAGTAGAATGGAAGGAAGTCTCCTATTAACTGGAGATTGAAAATGTTGGAGGATGCTCTTGGCTTCAAATCTGGGTGCTAGGTGGGAAGATTTCAAATTGAATCAAAGTAAACTACAACAAAGAATCACATTATATAAAGGAATGATGTGGGAGGCTTTGGGATGCTCCGCTCCAACACAAAATTTAAATTTCAGTGACACTTTGAAGGTCAAGTGTATGCAAACATTTGTTTTATAATAGAGGCATAAATTATACCACTTCTATAAAGTCCAATTTAGAATTAGCAAGATAAAAAATACATGCATTGGGATTCAGCAATACCAATTTTAGTACAACCTGCAGTTATGATAACATTTCACAGTAGCATTGATGATGAGAGTGTAGGGGAAGGAAGAACTTCTATCCTCTGATGGTTTGATAATTGAGTCTATGAAATAAACTGACAACAGATTAACAGGAGGGAAAAATTTTAATTATGGTGTAAAATGCCCAGATATCCCACACCCAAAATAAACAAACAGGGGTGTGTGTGTGATGTACTCCAGTTGGTATACCACCAGTCTCTTCTCCTGAGATACCATTAATTTCTGTTTGATGAGACTCTGGGAAGGGGATTTATGACAACCGAGTTCTCTTTTGTGGGCCTCTATCTTTAATACTATAAATTCCAGAGAAAGTTGCCTAGCAAGGTAAGGTGCTGTGGAAGAAAGACAAGGAAACAGGAGGGTTAGAGACCTTAGTTCTCCTTTAGTTCAAAGGACTCAACAACACAAAACCTCACAGTTTGAGATATCCTTTTTTTCCCTAGCATTCACAGAGAGCAGAAATAATCCGAACATCAAATGTTATAAAACTGGTTAAGGGGCTGGGAAGGAGTGCTTGCCTTGCATGCATGAGGCCCTGGGTTTTATTCCTCAGCACCATGTAAGCAGAAAAAGCTGGAAGTGGTGTTGTGGCTCAAGTGGTAGAGCGCTAGCCTTGAGCTGAAGCTTAGCTGAGGGACAGAGCCCAGGTCGAGTTCAGGCCCCAAGATTGACCAAAAAAAAAAAAAAAAAAAAGAACTGGTTAAGTGAGACAAGGCTTTAAAGGGTGGATACTGAACACTTTCCAATTCATGTTAGACTAAAGGAACAGTTTACATACCACTTGTATAAAAAAAGTAATTAAATTAAAACAGGAATGTTTGCTTTTATGAGAAGCTGTTAAAACTGCCACACAGGAGGGGTCCTTTTCTCACTATTTTGAGTGCTTTTTGTATTTTGAAACATGAAAAGGAATTCACAAACACAAGTAGACGCCAGAAGGATAAACTTGCTTGAAGTCTGACGATGCAAAGGAGAAAGCCTGTGAGCTCAGCCTCATAGGCCATCACCCTAAGGCCTTGACAAATAAGATTGTCCCTTTGTGACACAAGCCTGAAAACTGTCAAAACATGTCCAAACCCCGCCCCCCATTTCCCTTCACTAAGTTTCAGCGAACAGTAAGTCACAGAAATTGCTAGCAAACTTGTCATCATTTCCAAAACACTAAAGCACTTTTCTCAGAACGGGGGGGGGGGGTTAAGCAAGGGAATGGGGGCGCGCAGGAAGGGGAGACATCACCCCAGATTAACGAGGCTTCTACCGTCTCTGACCCAGCCCGGGGGCCACAAAGCCGTAGGAATACAAAGTATCAATGGGGTTACTGAGAATCACCCGAGTGACACCTCACGTCGTAGTTTTAGGGCAACACACTTTCTCCCTCCACACCAGGCTTCCCTTTCTGGCTCCGCCTCTCCCCGCTCCGGCCCAGCCCAGTCCTTGGCGGGAGGTTGGCTCGGTTGCCCCCCGCGCGAAAGTGCGGAAGACGTAATGCAGCCAGATCTTCGGAAAGGACATGGTACACTCTGTCCTCCCATCTCTATGATCCTCTTTGTGACCAGCTTAGAAGCCCAAGCGTTCGGTGCCAATAGTCCTCCTGGCCGACAGAGAGCGATGCAAAAATTGACTTAACAGGTGCAGGGCGCGCTCTCTCCACCTATTGAGGGAGCTTGTGAGCACGGGCGCATGCGCTCTCGGTGGTGCGCGGCGGAAAGAAGGGGCGGGGGCGTGGAGCGGAGATTCGACCTGGCCTGAGCTCCGAGAGCGCGCGTGCGCAGTCGCGTGCTCAGGGCTGCCGGGACTCCGTGCGGGATCTGGGGTGAGGCCGCTGTGCGGGGCCGCGGGGATGTTCCGAAAAGCCCGGCGAGTGAACGTGCGCAAGCGGAACGACTCGGAGGAGGAGGAGCGGGAGCGCGAGGAGGAGCAGGAGCCACCACCGTTGCTGCCACCGCCGGCTACCGGCGAAGACCCGGGCCCTGGAGGTGGCGACCGGGCCCCCGGGAGCGATTCGCTGCTGGGCCCGGGGCCGCCGCCGCCGCCGCCGCCGCCGTCGTCGTCTTCCACGCTCACCCCTGGCCTCGGGGCTGAGGCCGGGGGAGGCTTCCCCGGGGGCTCGGAGCCTGGCAACGGGCTGAAGCCGCGCAAGAGGCCTCGCGAGAACAAAGAGGTGCCCAGGGCCAGCCTGCTGAGCTTCCAGGACGAGGAGGAAGGTAACCGCCGCGCCCGAAAGCCCCGCACCCGCACCCCAGGACCCCTCCGCGGCGAGGGCGCTCCCACCCCGGAACCGATGGGCCCCTGCCCGCCCCGGCGCTGGCGGATCCTTCCCCGCCTCCGGCCTTCTGCTCCGACTGAGGTTGCGTTCCCGCGCTGCCCGCATGGGCAGCCTTAACAATCGCCGCCTCCTCCTCCTCCTCTGCCTCTTTCTCCGCTTCCTCTTCTTCTTCCTCCTCCTCCTCCTCCTCCCCTTCTCCCTCCTCCGCCCCCTCCTCCTCCTCTTCCTCTTCTTCCTCCTACCTCCACCCCCTCCCCCCACCCCCGTCTTGTGCATTTTCTACGGGCTTGGGGCTGGAGCTATTCCATGATCATTCTGGGTTGAAGTGGAAATTCAGTGCTCCCTATCTTGCCTCCCTCCTGCTGGGATGTTTTGGAGAGAAATGTATTTATTTATTTAATTTATGTTTGGTGCCGGCCTCGAGGCTTGAACTCGGTCTGGACGCAGTCCCTGAGCTTTCATATCACTTGAGCCACAAGTCCACTTCCAGCTTTCTGGTGGTTAACATTGGAGATGAAAGTCTCAGGAACGTTATTCCTCGGGCTGGCTTTGAGGGCTGGCCACCCTCAGATCGCAGCCTCCTGAGTAGGTAGGGTTAACAGGCGTGAGCCACCTGTGCCCGGCGAGAGTTCTGTCTGCTGGCATAATCACAGAGCCCGACTTGCAGGCCACGGTGCCTGAGCCTCGTTGGCATCCTTGACCAGGAAAGGCTGGGTTTGAGAACAGGAGAGAAGTTGGTCTGGCCAAGAAGTCTAGATTTGCAGCTCTGCTTCTAAGTGACCTTGGGACAGTTCCTTATGCTCCCCGAGGCTGTTTTCCCAAAGAAGCAAATAGGGGTAGCAAATGTCTGCTTTGGTCTTGGCATTTGGAACGGTGAAATTGGGTGAGGCAGTTTCTATAATCTGCAGCATGCCAGACTAGTCAACTGCAGGAGATTGAGATTTCTGGTCTCAACCAAATGAGCTTTAAAATATGTTTACTTCCCGACCAATTGAATGTATGTAAACCAATCCCATGTTAAAAAAAAATTAGGAAGTTGTGCATCTCTGAATTAAGATGCTTCTTTATGTCTAATAAGGTTAGGCAGTTTATATTTGGCTTTTACAAGTTAATTTTGTTTGAGAGGGGTAAAACCAGTTTTTGTCTTTGACACATGCACTATTTAGTGACGGGCTATGCGCTTGACTTTCAAAGTTTAAAATGGAAGAGGATGGAAAAGTCACTAAAAGTCTTGAAATACTGTCAGTTGCTGATAGATGTAGACTTACTCAGACTTGTCAACACCAATGATTTTTCAGTATATCCTTTCAGATTCCTCAATAATTGGATTTTTGTATGTGTGTGTGGAACTCGGGGCCTTAGCATTCTTCCTTAGTTTTATCACTTCAAGGCAAGAGCTTTACCACTTGAGCCATAGTTCCACTTCTGGCTTTTTGGTGGTTAATTGAAGACAAGAGTCTCATGGACTTTCCTGCGCAGGCCAGCTTTGAGCTGCAGTCCAAGATGTCAGCCTCCAAAATAGCTAGGATTGCAAGTGGAATCAGTGGCTCTGGGCTAAATAGAAACATTGTGAATTTGTTATTGTGTTTTTCCTCCTGAGATGGAAGGTTTAAGGCAACCAGTAAGTTGTTGTGAAATTACATAGGTTATACCTTAAAAATCTTGAAGTTTCACTATTGCGTATTAACTTATGAAGTTAAAACTCAAACTTGAGTCTATGGTAAGTTTAAAGTAACTTCAAGTTATGGTGTGTAAATGTTATGTCTGCTTATATAGTACATATGTACATATGGTAGAATTTGTTTATATAGTACATATGTACATATGGTAGAATTAGAAAGAAGGAACCATTCTGAGAATGGTTGCTACAGATTTCATTTAATTTTCTTTTTAAGAAAATGAAGAGGTTTTCAAAGTGAAGAAATCAAGTTACAGCAAAAAGATAGTAAAGTTGCTCAAGAAAGAATACAAAGAAGATCTTGAAAAATCAAAGATTAAGACAGAACTGAACTCATCAACGGACAGTAAGTACTAATCCGATTCTTTAAATGATAAAATGACACCTTTCTCGGTGATTTGAGAAGTTACTGTGAATTGGTTCAAGTGTCTACTTTGAATAGCAGTATATACAGTTTAGTTAGTGCTCAGATACTTTTGTATGCCTCTCAAGACACAGAGTGTTGCTGCTGGATTCCTGCTGGTATATACACTGCTCCCATACAGAGATAGTTTCTCATTTTAACCTGAGGCAGGTATATTCCTGTTTGAAAAGATACATAGATTCATAAAGATGAGTTTTCAACCCCTTTGGTTTTATTTCTATTTGTGTTGGTCATTTTGGCACTCATCAGCCTTATGAGACAGATACATTGTACTGATATCCCTCTCTCCAAAAATTAAACCAACCAGCCTCCTTCTCCCTTTTCTCTCCTAGATTTCTCTCTTCCCCCTTTCTCTCTTCCCCACTCCCCCTCCCCTTTTGCTAGAGGCAGACACTCTACCTCTGGCCTGTATACCCTTAGCCCCTGAGTTTAAGACTTTTAAGCAATTGTTTTGTCCTTAGGAAAGTAGACTCATTATAATACGCTAAGGTCTGAATTATTAGGCAACTGATTGAAAGAAATCTTTGGTTTTATAGAGTTAAAAATAGAATTAATTTCTAGGTTCTTACAGGCTTAATATGAACCAGAATGCTCTATCTACAATTTACTTGTGGAGACAAAATCATGTGACTATGTAACGTCAGTATTGAGTAAAATATCCAATGACTGGTCCAAAGGGTGACCATAGTTTTGTTTTCAGAAGAGGACTGTTCTGTAGATAAGCAGGGTATCAAGTTGGATTTTGATAGCTAAACTTCCAGAAAATAGAAGGAAACTACTACATGTCATCAAAGATTAGAATGACAAAAGTGTTTAGGGAAAGAGCAAGTACATTTGCCAGGAGAGTAGATGAATTTTGAACAAAGTAGTTTAAAGGTTCAGTATGCATGATACACTGTTGGCAGATTGTGAAGGATATTTAGTATGTTTAGAGTTGGTACTGCCAAAATGAAACTTCCACTTAGTGTTAACATGAAGCATGGATTGGAATGGGGAGAGATTGGAGGTCTAAAGCAATTTAAACTTTAGGGCCATTTTTAATCCATTAATATTGGGCTATAAAGGTCTCACTTGAGCAAGACTGAGTCTTTTCTTACTCTGGGAAATTGTGAGTGAGTTAAAAGTTATTACTGAGTGCAGGAGAAGAAAAAGACAGAAAAAGATCTTTGAGAAACATTCCAAAGGAAAATTGATAGAATTAATATATGCTTTTGCCGTATTTTGAAAGAAGCAGCCAAGTTTGAGTTTATTTTAATTACCTTTTTTTTTTTTTTTTTTTTTTACAAATTCAGATGATCAGCCTCTGGACAAAGCAGGGCGCATTAAGGATGCAAGTCAAGAAGATGGAGTTCTCATCAGTGAGCATGGGGAAGATGAAATGGATATGGAGAGTGAGAAGGAGGAAGAAAAGCCCAAGGCTGGCGGGGCATTTTCAAATGCATTATCTTCTTTGAATGTTCTTCGTCCAGGTGTGTACCTGCAAGCATTTCTCAGAATTAAATTAAGCCCTCAAAGATGGGTTACCTTTTTGGCAGTACTGTTTTTCTGTCGGTCGTGGGGCCTAAACTCTGGGCCTGGGCGCTGTCCCTCAGCTCTCCAGCTCAAGGCTAGCTAGCACTCTGCCACTTGAGCCACAATGCCACTTCCCGCTTTTTCTGCTTATGAGGTGCTGAGGAATTGAACCCAAGGCCTCAGGCATGCAAGGCAAGCACTCTACCACTGACCCACCTTCCCAGCCCCAGTACTGGGGTTTGAACCCAGGGCCTCACATGGCAGTCACTATTGCTGAACTTGAGCTTCCATCCTGTTCGTAGTTTTTTGTTTTTTGTTTCGATATTTTAAAATACTGTTATTATAAGGGTGATGTGCACAGCGTTTACAGTTATATAAGTCAGGTAATGAGTATATATTTCATTTTGGACAATGTTAGCCCTTCCCTTACTCTCTCCCAGCTTTTTTTTCCTGTCCCTACCCACAAGTTATGTAGTTCATTTTCAACATAGTGTCTAGTGGGTACCACTGCTGCATTTGTTCACCCTGTGTCTCTTCATTACTGTGTACCTCCTTACCCTCCTAAAGACAGATAATGCATTAGTTATTTTTAAGATTAAGTCTTCTGGGGCTGGGAAGGTGGCTCAGTGGTAGAGCGCTTGCCTTGCATGCCTGAGGCCCTGGGTTCAATTCCTCAGCACATATAAGTAAAAAGAAAAAAGCCGGAAGTGGCGCTGTGGCTCAAGTGGTAGAGCGCTAGCCTTGAGCTGAAGAGCTGAGGGACAGTGCCCAGGCCCAGAGTTCAGGCCCCATAACCGGACCCAAAAAAAAAAAAAAGATTAAGTCTTCTTTCCTTTCCTGCTTTAGACTTCGCCTTTTGGTGGTTTGATAGGCTCATGCTATCATACCCAGCTTTCTGCTTTTCTGCTTAGGCTTACCTGGAACTTCGATCTTTTGTCTCAGCCTCCTACCTATCTAGGATGATAGGTGTTTGCTGCTGCATCGACTTCTTGGTTGAGGAATGGGGAGGATTCTCACAATCTTTGTTTTGCCAGGGCTGGCCCTGAACCCCGATCCTTCTGACATTAGTCTCCCAAATATCTAGGATTACATGTATAACTCACTGGTGCCCAGAGGATGGGCTGTCTTTAAAAGTGATTATTCAGTAAAACATTGACTAGGTAATCCTTTGTATTATGACATCTTTGAAGATAGGGTGTTTCTTCTTGCAAATATAGAAAATGTGAAAAGTAGATGTTTTTTAGCTTTCTTAAGACAGGCTTTATTTATAGACAGGCAATTGTGTGATTAAAGCAAATAACCTTCAGTAAATGTTAATTGATCCTAAAATATTTTTATGTATTTCATTAGAAAACATTGAGCATTTAATAGCCAAGTTACATGTAAAAGAAGTATCAATGTAACATTTAGAAATGCCTACTTTGGAATAGGAACTTGCTACAAATTATATACATACCTCCCTAGTGGCTTTCAAATTGTTATAGTCCTTATAGAAAGTCATTTTACAATAGGAATAGATTTCTAGATGCTCCTACCCTTGATTTTGTAATTCCATATCATGGCTTAATTGCAATACCATTGCAGAAGGTAAAAGGGGGGAAAAATCTCCCAGGAAGAGAAATACTTCATAAATTACATAATATTTACTTAGTGTTACAATAGCAGTTAGATCAATAGCAAAGGATTAATTCTTGCTGTAGGTAAGAAGTCAATTACTTTGATTATATGGTTGATTATGCTTTTATCTGTTTAGTGCAGACTGCTAAATCCTTAAAAATTATGTGTATAGAACATGGAGAAAAACTTAATGGATTAATATAAAAAGCAATTAGCCACAAAAGTACATATTCAGTATACTTACATGTGAACTATAAAAAATGCTTGTAAGAGAAATGCACTATAAATCAAGTACTTATTTGGAGCCATGAGATTGTGGGTACCATTTTTATATATCAGTTTTCCAGTTTACAAATACTTAATTATTTTTATTTCTTAAAAATATAAAACTAATAAAAGTGCTTTGGTTTCCTGCCCATCTATATTTTTAAAATGAAAAAAAAATCAAGTGATTATAGATAAGGTTTGGGACAAGGTACCAGTAGTGAACATTACTACATTACTGTGGCTGGGTGCTGGTGGGCATGATAGTCCTGGTTCTCAGTAGACCGAGATCTGAGAATAGCAGTTCATAGCCAGCCCGGGCAGGAAAGTCCATGAAACTGTACTTCCAGTGAACCACCAAAAAAACCCAGAAATGGAGCTATGGCTCAAGTGGTAAAGTGTTAGACTTGAGCACAAAAGCTCAGGGACAGTGTCCAGGTCCTGAGTTAAAGACCAAGTAACAATCTGGGTGCCCATGGCTAGGGCCCATAATCCTAACTATTCAGGAGGTGAGATTTTAGGATCATGATTCAAAACCAGTCTAGGCAGGCAAGTCTGTGAGACTCTTGTCTCAACCAGAAAACTCGAAGTGGAGCTGTGACTCAAAAGTGGTAGAGCATTAGCTTAGAGCACAAATGCTCATGGACAGTGCCCAGACCCTGACTGAGTTCAAGTCCCATGACTGATGAAAAAAAAAAAACAAACCTCCTCCAAATGACATTTAATACCAGCAAAAAAAAAAAAAAAAAAACTATTACTGTAACAAGCCTATATTAGGTTATGTTATTCATATGTTCTGAAAAACAACTTTATACACATAGTATTGTCATATTTTATAATTAATCATTTGTTTACAGGAGAAATTCCAGATGCAGCGTTTATACATGCTGCAAGAAAAAAGCGTCAAATGGCCCGGGAACTAGGGGATTTCACTCCTCATGATAATGAGTCAGGTAAAAGCCGTCTTGTCCGAGAAGATGAGAATGATGCCAGCGATGATGAAGATGATGATGAGAAACGCCGTATAGTTTTTTCTGTGAAAGAAAAGTCACAAAGACAAAAAATTGCCGAGGAAATAGGTAACTTGATATTGCTGGATAGTAGTAATCCCACTGTACCATTGCATTGCTTTTAATTGCGATTTGATTTGTTACTTGAAAATTTTGAAAACTATAGTGTAATTGTGATACTATTTAAACACTTGTGGCTAGAATTGTATTACTCTGCATGTATGTGTGTGTGTGTATTAATATTTATAAGAGACAGGTGGTTTTGTTCTTCACTTTGTTGGGCTGATATCAAGCTTACAGAAATTAATAATCCAATCTAATATTTTAACAATTAGCTACCCAGGTGTATTGTGATTATGGCAGACAATGTCAGCAGTATTGAATGAGAGATACCGTAGTAGATATTTTGGTCAGACTGAGTTACAAATAGAAATAATAATAATAATAATAGCTTAATTCTTGTGAATAGGATAGTATCTCTTCCCTTCTGCTATTTGGGTATTACATAATTAATTTCCTGTGTGCTCCTGGCTCAGGGATTGAGGGGAGTGATGATGATGCTTTAGTCACTGGAGAACAAGATGAAGAGCTCAGCCGCTGGGAACAGGAGCAGATAAGAAAAGGAATTAATATTCCTCAGGTAAAAAGAGTTATATATTTAAAAATAGGTTAAGGGCTGGGAAGGTGGCTAAATGGTAGAGTGCTTGGTTAGCATGCATAAAGCCCTGGGTTTGATTCCTCAGTACCCCATACACAGAAAAAGCCGGAAGTAGCGCTGTGGCTCAAGTGGTGTATAATGTTAGTCATGAGCGAAAAGAAGCTCAGGGACAGTGCCCATGCCCTGAATTGAAGCCCCATGACTGGCAAAAAAAAAAAAACAAAAAAAGGGTTAAAAGGCTTTTTGTCCTCTTGTTAAAAACTTAGTTCATATTGAATGTTTGTCATTCCTCCAAATAGCATAGTCCAGAAAACTACATGAGCCATTTTAAATTAGCTTGCTTTTACAGTCAGAAAAATGAGAGAATTTTCAATTTCTTAGATTAGTAGTCCATTAGCTAGGGGCATCAGTCACACCTGTGAACGTTAGCGTCAGAAACTCTAACCATTGTGCCTGTCAATCTGATGAAGAAGCCCTGTAGGTGATTATGATACACAGTAAAATATGAGAACCACTGCTTTAGATGAATATATTCTTTTCTAGATACCTTATTTTTTTCTGACAAAATTTATTTTGAAGAAAATGGGTTTTGTAGGAACATACAATCTTAGAAAAATGAAAAGTACTCCCCAAATACTAAGAACAATTTTTTTATAGAAGATAGTGAATAAAATTATATAGTGAACACTTTAAAAAATTGTTCTTTTTTATATTAATAGTGTTTTAAGCCAGAATTTGCATGTGTTTGGATGGTGTTAAGAAAGTAATATAGCCAAGCACTAGTGGTTCACACCTGTAATACCTAGCTACTCTGGAGGCTGAGATCTGAGTATCAGGGTTCAAAGCCAGCCCAGGCAGAAAAGTCCATAAGACTCTTATCTCCAATAAGTTACTCAGAAAAAGCTGTAAGTGGCGCTGTGGCTCAGGTGGTTGAGCACTAGCCTTGAGCACAAAGAGGCTCAGGGACAGTGCCCAGGCCGTGAGTTCAAGCTCCAGGACCAGCAAAACAAGAGAGAGAAGAGAGAGAAAACAAAACCAAAAAAACAGTATAAGAAAAGTCTTGGACTAGATATCAGGATGCTTAAGTTGTAATCTGTAGATTGTCCATTCTCTGACCTTGGCAAACTCTCCTTAGCCTCTTCCACTGATAAAATGATGGCTCAGGATTATTTTTATGTCCCTTCTACTTCTGAACCGAAACTTATTAGAAATTTAGAATTTAGTGATTCCATCAAATCACGTTCTTCTAATCTTACTTTTAGTTGTCTTCTAAGAATTGTACCATTACTAATTTTAATTACATAGTATTTGAGAAATGGTTATTGTTTTTATCATTACCCCTAATGATGTTTTGTTCTTTTTAAAAGTTCACCCATTTGTTTTCTATATATCCATTTTTTTCTAGGTTCAAGCAAGTCAGCCCACAGAAGTGAATATGTACTACCAGAACACGTACCAGACAATGCCTTATGGTTCATCCTATGGCATACCATATAGTTATACGACTTATGGATCATCAGATGCTAAATCTCAAAAATCAGATAACACAGTCCCTTTCAAAACTCCCAGTAATGAGATGACTCCCGTTACTATTGATTTGGTAAAGAAACAGCTTAAAGACAGGTAGGGCAGATCAACTTCTTAAAGACCTGTCTAGCTTTCTGTTCCCTCAGGCAACTTGTAGTCTGGGGTAGCAGATACAGAATATCGGCAAAGAAGATTCACTGGCCCGCCTTCCAGAGCTAAACAGAAGATGCCATCACCTTTCTTCTTGGATTACTTCTATGGAAGCCTCGAAAGTTTAGGAAAAAAAATGCCACTCCATGGTCATGTTGAAGACAGTTTGAATTTGCACCTCTTGGACTCCAAAAGTGTAGTCAAGATATGGGGGGAAAAGCAAGACAGTACAATTTTGGCTAGCACACCAAATAACTGCATATTAAGTCTGAAAACTGCCTCTTTTTTTTTTTGAGAAAGAGCAGTGCAGATGAAAAGATGCCATTCCAAGTGTCTTTATGTTCTAACAGTGGAACTAAATGCATTATAATAATAATTGCAAGAGTCCCGACAGCATAGACTTTTGGATGTAAATGTTATATTTATCCTTTTGTGTTCTTAAGGTTGGATTCCATGAAAGAATTGCACAAAACAAATCGACAGCAGCATGAGAAACACCTGCAAAGCCGAGTGGACTCTACGAGGGCTATTGAAAGATTAGAAGGGTCTTCTGGGGGTATTGGTGAACGGTATAAATTTTTGCAAGAAATGCGAGGGTATGTCCAAGACTTGCTTGAGTGTTTCAGTGAAAAGGTAAGAATGCAAAAATATTAATCTCTTTGAATAAGGCAATAATGAGGAGGTCTAGCGGGCCTTGTGTAGACCATTCTGTAATTCTCAATATCTATGAATTCAACCTTAGAAGTGGTGAAAAATGCTTCATTTTCTTTGCTTCATTAGTGGCATTCTTTCTTGGGGTAGTACAGTTCTATTGAAAACAGAAAATGAGAGTACTTCAGGGGACATTCTAATGAGACTTTGGCAAGTCTTAATTTCAATATAATGGTAGATTTATAGGCCTTTGCTGAATTGCTAATATGAGACTCACGATAGAAATATTCATTTTTATACTTCAGTTGTAAGCTTAATTTTAAACTATTCCTACAAGTCTAAATATATGATTGTTAGTGTAATAAATGCATAGTTAGATTTCAGTAGTTTTTGTTTTTGCCCAAAGTACTTGATTGCCATTGTTCTTCATTTTCATTTAAATAAGCCATGTGTCTTTATTCATCTCAGAAACTATTAAGCATTTCTTTTGAGGTCTCATTTCTTTCAAATTCATTATTTAGTATCATAATTAGCACTTTTTTGCATTCTATTTACCATTTGTTTACATTTTTAAAAATTAGCTGCATGCAGCTAACTTCTCAGATGATTTCTCAGTTGATGTTTCTTTAGGATAAATGTACTATTTGCACTAGGCTTATAAGCATTGTGGACTCCACAGGCTTTAAAAAAATTAAAAATAATGGTCCTTAAATGGCTTACCATTTAACTTTGGATCAGAAGGCACATTTCCTCTTATCATTGACTAGGATTAGCATAGAAACTACAAACTTACAGTATGGTCAAATGGGTATTTTAACTTTAGATTGTCTCTGCCGATTGTTAGGTATTGTAAAACTAAATGGTAGTAAAAGAACTTGTCTTTCTAGTGGATTTTGATGGTTTTCCAGTCAGTGTGTGGTTGCATGCTGGATGACAATGTTACCCTTTCCTCTCCTTTGTATTTATCAATGTTTTGTTGTATTTATCGATGTTTTATTCTATTGCCTGGTTTCTGGAAAGGCAACTGCAGTCTAAGCTATGACATTCCTTGTGGCGGAACAGTTGCTGGGGAGTTGGGAGGAAAGAATGAGTTTGACTGTGTTCTCAGGGCAGGGGCTGGAGTCAGGACTGGAAGTGGGAGGTATGTGTCAGAGCTGGCTAGAGAAAGGATCTTGGTCCAAAATGATACTTTGTGAGATTTGTTCCTAGGAATTGCTGCTTTTGAAGTATCTTGGCTTTTGCTTTGGAATTTACTTGAATAAACATAGATACTCCAAACTGTATACACAATGCTAAAAAATAATTGACAATATAGTAAGCTAGACCATATCATTCTTGAATTAAAAACAAGGATAGGACACTTAGTTTCCAGTGCTGAATTAGTAGTGTGCTTTATCTCTCCTTGATTATCCTGTTTCTAGACAAGTCATGATTGTGCTAATCATGACTATTCGTGGAGATCTGTAGTGATTACATTTTAATTAAAAGGGTAGATAATAATGTGTTTAAAAGATGTTTTATTTTAACATCTTCATATGCATTAAATTGTGTTAAGGATGTGCTGAGGACTGATCCAGTCATCTTAAAAATATATGGAATAAGAAAGTATTTAGAAACAATTGAATAGATTTGAATATTTGATTTTGTTGCTATACTAAAAAACTACTCTTTCAGACTTCTCTTTTCTTAGAAATGGTTAAATTTAGGTTTTAAATTACTTGTTAAGAATTTGTTTTGTTTCTCTTGTCATCTTTCTGGTGTTCTTTACCTGAGATTTGGCCCAAACGTAATAATTATATTGATAGTTTTGAGTTTGGAAAGGGTAAAATAATTTGTCGTGGTGCAGACTCTTGAAATAAGTCACTATTGCCAGGTACTTCAGTGAGAGTTAAAAATGAGTTTGAAATATTTCTTTGAAGCCGGGCGCTGGTGGCTCACGCCTGTAATCCTAGCTACTCAGGAGGCTGAGATCTGAGGATCATGGTTCAAAGCCAGCCCGGGCAAGAGAGACTGTGAGACTCCTATCTCCAATAAAAGAAAACCGGAAGTGGCGCTGTAGCTCAAGTGGTAGAGCGCTCACCTTGAGCTGAAGAGCTGAGGGACAGCGCCCAGGCCCAGAGTTCAAGCCCCACGACCGACCAAAAAAAAAAAAAAAAAAAAAAAATATTTCTTTGAACTTTTCTCTAGGCTTTGTTAAAAAGCAACCCAACTAACTAAAAAGAATAATTGCATGACCAGAATCTTAACTACACATTGGATAATTAAAATTCTCTCTGATGCCAGCTCAACTGTGTCGCTCTTAGAATTAGAGAAATGTAAATGTCCAAGACTGAAAGAATGCATCTTAGATCTGTTTGTCTTTAGTCTGTCTGGCTTAAAGAAAAGAGTACGGGAAAAGGTGGGAGATGGAGAAATGGTCACCCTAGGGCAGTAATTGCTTTAAAGAAAATCAGATTACATTAAAATTGAATAGTAGAGTCTCTAGACTGAGTTGTTTAGGATAACTATGGCAGATTTGGGGACATTGTTGCCCATGGTGTGGCAAAGAAAAACAAAATGACTCCATTATTTCAACCTTTCTGTGAACATTTGCCACTTTTGCAATGGAATCATACACGTATAGGTAAAATTGATTTTATTATAGACATCTTTGTATTCCACCTGCCTTTTTTTTTTTTTTTATTTCCGTTTGCAGTCTGTTCAGTTCAGGAAGCTGCTATAACACTTGGTGCCAGTGTTCCCAAACTCTAAATAATGTGTTTTCCTTTGCACTAACCATCGGGAAACTAGAATTTCTGGTTTCCTCAGGTATGTTTAGTGGTTGTTAGTGTTTGTGAAAGTTTCATAGCATTTGGTTATAATCTTTATAAACTAAGCTTTCTGCTTTTTAAAAAACATTGGATCTTGTTCTATAAACTTTTGTATTCTGTATGAATCAAGTATATTTTTACTTTACAATAAAAGAATTTGCAGTAAAATTTACAATATGGAAAAAAATTAAGCATTTGATATAGGAAGAGAAGAACTTGCTAAGTTAGAGATGTATTGATATCTGGTAGGTTAGTGATAGATAGAACTTTTTTAGCCCTATACCTCAGTTGGTCTACATAGAAAATACATAATTAAGGTGCAAAATTATATAATAAATTGTTATAGGCTACTTGGTATATCTCGATGGCAGATCACTTTAAATGTCCAAAGCTGGACAGGTAGCAGACTCTTGTTCTTAGCTGTTGTGGGTTGGTTGATTGCTTGGCATTGAATAGTGATAATGGTTTTTGTAGATCATGTTGCTGGAAAATTAAAAACATGCATTTGTAAGATTTACAAGTTACTTAAATATTCTCTAAAGATAAAGCACTAAAATTTTCGGCATTTCTTTACTTGCTATCTTAATACTTACGTATTAAATTTCTTAACGAAACCTTTGCTCCAACAACTAGGCAATAGACATAGTAGCTCTGTATGTGGATTTGAAGAAGAGTGATGCTTCCTATTCATTGCAGAACTGAACTGCTCTCATGTTCTGTTAGGAATTCATGATTATTTTGCCCATAGAGAGGGGGCTTTTACAGAAATCCGGAAATAATATGGAACCCTCAAATAAAAAGCACCTAAGGAGTTTGGTGTTACGGAGTGTGTTGTATTTTTACAGGTGCCACTGATTAATGAACTTGAATCAGCAATACATCAGCTGTACAAACAGCGAGCTTCTCGCCTTGTCCAAAGACGACAAGATGATATTAAAGATGAATCTTCGGAGTTTTCAAGCCATTCAAGTCAGTCCATCTTGAAGGTTTTTATTTTTCATTAAACAACCTTGTTTACTTAGTGCAGTCTAATTGAAAATTAGAAATCTCAGGGAACTTTTTTTTTTTTTAAACAAGTCTCCTTGTTGTGTCAGGTAGAGCTACAGACTATAACAGCATGTATTTGAATTGTGATAAAAAAATGTGGCTTCACAGAGGAGCTAAAAATATGCACCAGTGCTCTTCTCAGTCTTACTCTCCTTTGCACATATTTTTTTCATTCTTTTGTACAGCATAGAATATCTTATCAGTGTTTCATCTTAAAATTACTATCTGCTTGGCTCTAGCTGATTTTTTCCTATCATTTCATTGTGTTCATAACCCAGGTACAAGTGATGCTTTCAATCACGATAAAAGATTTTGAATTTAGAGACTGGAAAGATTTATGGGGAGGGTGATGAAAGAAGTATTATGTAGCCAGTAATAACCTCAGATTACAGGAGTTTACTAACCCTTCGGGATAAAGCCAAAGTCAAGGTGTTGTGTTTTTTTTTTTTAACATTCTTGTTTGTATTTGTGTTTTTTAAAGTCAGTGAATGCCTGCAGCTCTTGTAATTTTGTGTAAAAGTATAGAAATTAAATTTAGAGTCCTACATGACAAGTATTATAAAAAATAAAAATTATTTAAAAACTCTTCAAGTTAGTTTAGCTGAGATTCTTTAACTAGTTGCTTTTATAAAGCTCTTAGTTTAATTTTTTTCTATGGCCTTCCACATTCTTGGGCTTTACTGGGGACTTTTCTAATGTGGGTTCCTCGTGTTTTCTTTTGTCATTTCTTTGCTCCTGGGTTAGCAGTCTCAAATGTGCTACCCTGAGATATACTAATTTAAAATGTAGATTTTCTGGTCTTGTCCTTAGAGGTGCTTACTGGTCTTCCATGTCCAGGAATCTGCATGTTAAACCACCATACCATGTGGTTCAAGCCCAAAAGAGCTGAATGGTACTCCTAGCACACTGCTTTGCCATACAAGGTGCCCTTCAGTCAGAGTCTAGGTCCCTGAGAAAGCATCCTGCCTTGTGTCTGATGGGTTTTGGAGAAGCAGAAAGAGGCCGTCATATGGCCTGCATTGCTGAGGCAGGCTCGCCAAATGCAGGCAGACTTAGCAATGCTGAGCCATATAAATGGTCTTGACCTGTTTTTGCTGTACAAGTTCAAATAGAATTACTGGCATTGGACACCTAAATGACTAATGCATCCCTCCCAGACCACTTTTGATCCAGACAGAACCAGATTTCTGGGGCAGATTACAGGTAACCGCTATATAATGAAGGGAAATACTTTTCTTTTAAGTTAAATGGTTTGTGTGAGCTGCGCATCTCACTTAGGTAACTTCTCTTATCTATCATCTGCTTTTCACATTGTGGAACTTGAAGTAAGAGTTAAAATGATGCATGTTAATTAGACTGAAATTTGGAAAGAATAGAAAGATTGTAGAAAAGTGAAAAATACTTCCTGGGACAAATAGACACTAATTGCAACAGATTTGAGGACAAGTACAAGGGAAATTGAAGAATCAATTGATTAATCATTCTTTCAATAAGAAAGAATACATACTGTTTTGTGGAATGGGAACTTTTTTGTACAACTACTTAAAGATAATAATAAAAAAACTAAAACAAAAAAAGAATACTTAGCAATTGACTTAGAAGCACTTACCTGCATTTACTGTGCATATTTCTTACAGAAATGAAGGACACTTGCTACTTATGATTGATATTGTCTTTCCTAGCTAGTGAACTCTGGAACATTCATCCTTTCTAAATGAGCTATTCTAAAATGAGAGTTTTTAAAAACCTTAAAAAAGTCACCTTTTAAAAATAGTTAAGGTCTAGAATGTTGGGAATCAGTGAAATGGAGAGCTGATTTTTAGTTTTGTTTTTCCTGTTGCTGATTATGGTGATGAATCTATTAGGTTGGAAAAAATATTAGTAGCCTTAAGTGGCTGCTTTTCATTTTGCTATCTCCAATTCCCTGGGTTATTTTCTGGCAAAGAATATCAGGTCCCCAATTAAAGATGTTGAGGCCCTAACTTGTTGGAGATCCCAGTAAAAGAGTTAGGATTTTACTAGGTAATCTGATAGAGATGAATATTTTTGTGGGTTGGGGAAATAGTACTGTGATTTGACCTCAGGGCCTCATGTTTCTAGGCAGGCACTCTACAACTCAAACCATCCCTCTAGAAGAAATAATGTTTCTTTTAGACAACTCCTGCCTGTGTATACAGGGCTTCCATTTTTGCTCTTGTATGTAAACAGGAAATTAACCTTTACTAGATGGCCAGCATCAGCAATGGGACAAAAGGAACTGAGAAAAGAGACAATGTAAGAAAACTACAGCTAAATGACAGCCTCAGGGAGATAATAATAGTATCTTCATACAGAACACAAGTATAAGGATGCCATAAAGGAGGAATATTGTAAAAACATGACCACTTTGTGGAAACTGAAAATATGGTATTTGATATACAAGTTTAAATAGGAAAATCAAAGCCAGAAAATTCCCCTAGTTTCCAAAAGAATAGATAAAGGAGATGGAAAACAGGTGGAAATAAAGAAAGACCAGGTTATTGTGCTGTGAAAGAAATAGGGTATGAGAGGTGTGGTTAGCTACTCAAGATTTTCAGTTTGCAATGTTGCCAAGTTCTAAGAATAGTTGATAATACATAAATTCCTACAAAGCAGAACAAAACGTTATTCTTAGTCTTTCTTCCTGTTTCTTTGTTGTCATTTCATGTTATTCTATATGTGATGTCTTAAGTTCTTCTCTCTTAAAAATGTAATCTATTTTCCTTTTACACAGGTAATTTAGAATTTTAATTTGGTCATCATGAGAGCATAAGCTAGTCATTTATTTAGATGTAATAGTAGCCCAGTTAGTTGCATTTTTGTAGGGTTGTTGGACTCTTAAAATTTTTCTACTTATTTTTATGGGAGTCCAGAATAATGCTAAGATTTTTATCCGAACTAAAAACCTGTCCGATTTCCCACTTATTGCAGAATCAACCTGCTGAGATTAGCAAGCAGTCTATCATAATGGCTTGTTCTGTGCAAACTCTTTCCTCAGGGTTGTTGAAGGAAGGCTTTTAATTTTAACTGTTGTTATTTTACAGATAAAGCTCTGATGGCACCAAATCTTGATTCCTTTGGGCGAGATCGGGCACTGTATCAAGAGCATGCAAAACGTCGGATTGCAGAGCGAGAGGCCAGGAGGTAGTTCTCAGATGCTTTTGTGGCTTCATTAGGGAATGGAACAGTGGCTTTTATTATCTAACTTGAGAATTGGATTTGTTCTCAAGAACTCGTCGAAGACAAGCCAGAGAGCAAACCGGGAAGATGGCAGATCACCTTGAAGGCCTTTCCAGTGATGATGAAGAAACGTCTACAGATATTACTAATTTCAATCTGGAGAAAGGTTAGGCTTTTATTTGGAAATAGCACTCATCAATTTGGTTTCTGTGTTGGCTGAGTTTTATATTTTTTTTTTCCTTTTGGTTTTATCATGAAACGTTTAGAATTTTCCAAACTTGGCTTCTACCCAAGGTTTATTTGGTTTCAGCTTTTAATATAGAATACATGACTACTTATATGTATTTTATATTCACACCTATTATTATTAATTTTTTTTTTTTGGTCGGCTGTGGGGCTTGAACTCTGGGCCTGGGCGCTGTCCTTCAGCTCTTCAGCTCAAGGCTAGCGCTCTACCACTTGAGCTACAGCATCACTTCTGGTTTTCTGGTGGTTTATTGGAGATAGGAGTCTCATGGTCGCTCCTGCCCAGGCTGGCTTTGAACCGCGATCCTCAGATCTCAGCCTCCTGAGTAGCTAGGATTACAGGCCTGAGCCACCAGCGCCCGGCCTATTATTAAATTTTTTATTTTTTGTTCACACCTCAGCTTGAACTCAGGGCTTGGACACTGTCCCTTAGATTTTTTAGCTCAAGGGCTGGTACTCTACCACTTAAGTTACAGCTGTACTTCCAGCTTTGTGGTGGTGAACTGGAGAAGAGTCTCTTTGTCTGCCTTGACTGGCTTTGGACTATGACTCTCATATTTCAGCCTCCTGAGTGACTAGGATTATAGGCATGAGCTATCTGCACCTGGCTCCCTATTATTTTTGTTTTTTTGATTAAGTCTATACTTCGTAAGAGACACATACACTTTTAAAGGAGTATCCTATATTCTGATTTATATTTTTCCTGATCATATCGTTTAACTTGTTATTCCATTTTTCTTTTCTTTAGCATTGGAGTTTGAGCAGGCTTGGTGCTTGTTGGACAGGTGCTCTACTACTTAAATCATGCACCCAGTCCTTTTTTGCTTTAGGATATTAGGGATTGGATCTCAAGTTTTTGTGTGGACCGGCCTGGACTACGATTCTTTTCTCTATGCCCCCTGTGTAGATGGTATGACAGACATAAGCCACGATGCCCTGCTGATGCAATGGAGGCCTCACTTTCTGGCCTAGAATTTTGATTATCCTGATCTCCAGTTCCCATGAAGCAAAGATTACAGGCATGAGCCACCATGCTTATCTAATTATTTTGTTTTGCTTAAGTACTTTTCTTCAAGACAATTTATTCTGAAGGTTTGATTAGAGTCAGTAACTACTACTACTACCACTACTATTGCTACATCTTCTCTTCTCTCTCCCCTCTACCTCCTCCCTCATCTACTCATTTTCCTCTTTCATTCTGAATGCTGTTTCTACTGCATAATAATCACAGGGCAAGTGTTAAAAGATTGCCCAAGTATTAGGAGGATTAAGATTGTTCTTGCAGTTGAAGTTGTTGAGATTTTTATCTCTCCACAGAAAATATTTTTTATCAAGGTATCTAGGGCATCACATAACTTACTCCAAAAGAATCTTTCACTTACAGGTTCTTAGCATCTAGTCACCTGGCATTTGACTAGCAGTTAGTATAATTACTGGCAGTTACTATAATAGTGTTGAAAGACATGATGCAATTGTGTAGTGACATTTGAGCTGTGGTGTTGAAGGATATGTATTATGTAACAAAACCTTGGTAATTGAAAATTACATATATTGAAAAAAATGTTAAACCTATAAAGATCTTGAAAAACAAAGATTACCTCAACAAATTGAAACTTCTTATGTTTATCTTTTATTCAAACTAATTAGTAAGCTAGTCCTTTGTTAGTGAGATTACCTTGTTGATATTCAAACCTCAAAGTAAATAATGGAAATGTGGGAAGTTTTTTTTTTTTCTACTTCATACTAACCATGGTTCTCTGGGGTTTTGTCTTAGATCGCATTTCAAAAGAGTCCAGCAAGATCTTTGAAGATGTCCTTGAGAGTTTCTACTCAATTGACTGTATTAAATCACAATTTGAAGCATGGCGTTCAAAATACTACATGTCCTACAAGGATGCTTACATTGGTCTTTGTTTGCCAAAGTTGTTCAATCCACTCATTAGACTTCAGCTCCTCACTTGGACTCCTCTTGAGGTGGGTTGTCATCACTGAAAGCAATATAGTCTTGTGTCTGGATATGTTTACTCTCATGGATTTATATGTAGAGTTAAGTAATTTAAAAAAATTATTATCTTTAAGTAGTTGTTTAAAAGATTACTGTTCGTCATGTCAGTGTACAAGTACAATTCATCTTGATACCACCTTTTTCATCATTCTCTTTCAACCTCGATAGCTGAAGTATTTTTTAAGGGAGACAGGCTGTAATTAATTTGAAGTGACTATATTTGGTAATAGTCTTTAGTTTCATCCTTTCCTCAGAAGCTTTTTTTTATTTTTATTTATTTATTTTTTTTGGTCCACTCGTGGGGCCTGAACTCTGGGCCTGAGCACTGCCCCTCAGCTCTTCAGCTCAAGGCTAGCACTCTACCACTTGAGCCACAGCACCACTTCCGGCTTTTATCTTTATGCTTATGTGGTGCTGAGGAATCGAACCCAGGGCCTCAGGCTTGCAAGGCAAGCGCTCTACCACTGAGCCACCTTCCCAGCCCCCAGAAGCTTTTTTTTAAGCTTAAGTTACATGTAGTGATACTAGACTAATGAACAAGAATAATGACAAGTTAGTCCTTGGATCCTAGGGAAACCTAGAACCTAAGGGAAAACACAATGGGGCAAGTATGAATGAAAATTTGAACTAAGCCAGTGGTAACCGAAGTTAAGAGGGAGAGACAAATGCCACTTTTTTTTTTTTTGGTCAATTGTGGGGCCTGAACTCTGGGCCTGGGCGCTGTCCCTCAGCTCTTCAGCTCAAGGCTAGCACTGTACCACTTGAGCCACAGCGCCACATCCTGCTTTTCTGCTTATGTGGTGTTAAGGAATCGAACCCAGGGCCTCATGCATGCGAGTCAAGCACTCTACCACTGAGTTATCTTCCCAGCCCCGACAAATGGACTTAAATAGGCTCCATTGGGATCATATATGGGAGAAGGGTAGAACTGACTATTTTAGAACTAGTGATGGTGTTTATGGTAGGTCTTGGAAATTACTTACATAAGGGATTGGTAATGGCCAGGTCAAATATGTAAGTATAAGGAAAGATTACTTAGGATGAATTCTGGAAATAAATGAGACAATTATAAGCTCTGGGAGCCATTTAGCTCAGGACTCCTGCTACTCTTTGCTAGATTTGGTGGAGGTTCAATGCAAGTATGTCTCTGAAGATGCCCATCAGAAGCGTAGTTGCATTTGGAGGTCTTTTTTTTTTTTCTTTTCCTATAGCTCCTTCCTCTGTTCCACAGCTTCTAGCTGCCTTAGCCTCCTTAAACTCTCTCTCTCTTTTTTTTTTCTTTTTTTTTGCCAGTCCTGATGCTTAAACTCAGGGTCTGGGCACTGTCCCTGAGCTTCTTTTTGCTCAAGATTAGTACTCTACTATTTGAGCCACAGAGCCACTTCCAGCTTTTTCTGTTTATGTGGTACTGAGGAATTGAACCCAGGGCTTCATGCATGCTATGCAAGCGCTCTACCACTAATCTACATTCCCAGCTCTTGAACTCCCATTTCTGTCTCTTCAACTTGGCAAGACTACTGTACTTTCCCCCACCCTGCTCTGGACCAGGCACACACCTCATCAGTGTTTTCTTTCAGGGATTGGCCCTGTGCTCTCTCTGGTTCTTCTGTGCTCATCTGGAGACAGATGTTTCCTATACTTGGTAGTTCTTACTTGTTTACAACCAAAGTCAAATCAAGTTTCTATTTCTTTTAACATGGCTGAAGGCAGAAATAGCCATTACTTAAAATGTTTGAAGAACATTTTTAATATGTTACAGGCAAAATGTCGTGACTTTGAGAACATGTTGTGGTTTGAATCTTTGCTATTTTATGGTTGTGAAGAACGAGAGCAAGAAAAAGATGATGTAGACGTTGCTCTGCTACCTACCATTGTGGAGAAGGTGATTCTTCCTAAACTAACAGGTAAACATGGGAACCGTTTCCCAAACCTGTTTTTGAAAGTTTTTAATCTGATCCATATTATATATATCCATAGTAAGTGGTAGTGATCACAGATGGCCAAAGGTGAGAGAATTCTTCTTGAGGCTTGAAGATCACCTCTGGTGGGCCTAGAGTAGGGGGCAGTACATGATCCATAGGTGAGTGTTATGAGATCCCCAGCGTTAGGTTTTTAAAAAGAGGTAGCCGAGTAAGAACAGCACCAGCACACACGTGGTATTCAGGTAAGGGGTAGGTTTATTCAGTAGACCTGCTGGGACCAGGCAAGGTTGGCACTCCACGCGGCTGGGAAAGGCCTAGGAAAGAGAGAGAGCTGGGAAAGAGAGAGAGGAAAGAGAGAGAAAAGAGCAGAGAGCAGAGAGAGTTAGAAAAGAGCAGCGAGAGAGGTAGCCGAGTAAGAACAGCAGCACTCACGTGGTATTCAGGTAAGGGGTAGATTTATTCAGTAGACCTGCTGGGACCAGGCAAGGTTGGCATTCCACATGGCTGGGAAAGGCCTGGGAATGAGAGAGAGCTGGGAGAGAGAGAGAGGAAAGAGAGAAAAGAGCTAGAAAAGAGCAGAGAGAGCTAGAAAAGAGCAGCAAGAGAGGGCCTCTGGGCCTGGGCTAGGCCTTATCTAGGGTATGGGCAGAGAAAGGTGTGGCCACATCAAATTCAGATGTGACCTCAGCGGATGCAGATGTGACCTCTTCCAGGTGTCCCAGTTGCCTAGGTAATGCAGGTACTGGGTGGAGACTTTGCTACGAGGAGGGTGGAGTCTGCTGGCCATCCAGGAGCGGATCTTACACCCAGCACTACCCAAAGACTGAGAGGGAGATAGGTGGGAACATATTATCAGTGTTCTTCCATTTTTTTCAAAGCAATTAGGAATTGTTGGTATAGGGCCCAATTTTAAATATTAAACACGGATTTTGAATTTCTTAGTAATTCTAGGTGCTGAAATGACATCTTTTGAAATACAGAAATGTCTGCATGCTTATTTGCATTGAGCAGCATACATAAGGGGAATGCCAATTACTTCTACATATCTCTGACCCTCCTAGTTCCCAGAGAATTGGACAAGGAAGGCTAAAGCGTATGTAGAGACAGGAACAGTTAGTCAAGATTGCATTTAGAGAGCTAATTGGCATCAGAATAAGTAAACTGCAATTTATTTCTGTATCTCAACATAATCCTTTTTTAAAAATAGTGATAGCTGAAAATATGTGGGACCCATTTTCTACAACACAGACTTCAAGAATGGTTGGAATTACGCTAAAATTAATAAGTGGCTATCCTTCAGTAGTGAATGCAGAAAACAAAAACACCCAGGTAATTTTTAATTCCCCTCTTTGGGAAGATTTTTCTTCTTCATTTAGACATGAATGGGAGTGGTGAGAACAAATGGTTTATTCTAAATCAGCCAGAAATCGGATTTTCACACTGGGATAACCTGGGTCTTGAAAACACAAAGGTGGAGGGGCTGGGAAGGTGGCTCAGTGGTAGAGCGCTTGCCTTGCATGCCTTAGGCCCTGGGTTCGATTCCTCAGTACCACATAAGCAAAAAGAAAAACGCTGTGACTCAAGTGGTAGAATGCTGGCCTTGAGCTGAAGAGCTGAGGGACAGCGCCCAGGCCCAGAGTTCAGGCCCCATGACCGGACCAAAAAAAGAAAAGAAAACACAAAGGTGGAGATGCTGAAGTGGAAAGAAGATGTTATTAGTCAGCAAACTCTGTTTTTGTGCTGCTTCTCGCTACTTTACCCCTACTTCCACTCTCATCAAGTGTCCCTTTAAAAACTATTTTGGGTGAGAAAGAAAACTATAAAACTACTAAGATAGTTAAATTTTTTTAGTGTTTTTACATTCAAATAAATTAATAAATAAATGGACTAAATGAAAACTATTCTTTTATAACCAACTTCTGTTTCTAATTATGCTTTTTATTTAGTTGTACAAAAGGGTTTCAGTTCAAATCAGATAAGTACAATGCATATTGGTCAATATCTCTTTATAACTAATTTCTAAACTTAAAATTGCTATTCTCCCTCAGTGAACATTCCTAAGAGCTTAATGGGGGAATTTTCACTAACCTGATTTTGAGAAGCAGCAAATTATATGTAGGATCCTGAATCTTTATTAGTAGATTTAGGGGATTGAAAGATGTGTAAATGGCTTTTTGTGTTTAGCAATTGTTGAAGGAATCACCTTATAGAGCTTTTAAGTGTCAAAATTACTAAACGTTATTAGGATATATGATCTACTTCTAATTTTTTAGGTATACCTAAAGGCACTTTTATTGAGAATGAGAAGAACTTTAGATGATGATGTATTCATGCCCTTATATCCCAAAAAGTAAGTAATTTGTGAGAACATTAAACATGATACTCTTCATTCTCTTTTAGAGAAGGCTTGTCAAATTCTAGAAACTAAATAGCTTGACAATTTCACCTTTGTAAACCATTAATCCAGAGCCTACCTCAGTGGGAAAATTGTTCCCTTTACCAGAATAAAGTAATTCGTGATCTTGGTTCTGCATCCATATTTTGAAGTAAATTTATATTATGTTTTATGTTTTTGAGATTTCACATTGTATTTCAGACTGAACCCAGTCATCCCCCCAAGTTGTCAGGCTTACAAACTGGCTTTCTGTTGCCTTTTTTACTTTTGGTGCCAGTTCTGGGCTTGGATTCAGGGCCTAGGCTCTGTCCTTGACCTTCATTTTGCTCAAGACTAACTAAGACTGTAGCACTTGAGCCATTGTTCCACTTCCTGCATCTCACAGACTTTCCTGCCCAGGCTGGTTTTGAACATGTTTTCACTTCCTACATTGTTGAGATGACAGTGGTCTACCACCATGCCTAGCTGTTACTGGGTTGGTAATATATTCTCATGAACTATTTTGTCCACACTGGCATCAGATCTTAAACCTCCTAATCTCTGCCTCCAGACTAGCTAGAATTTATAGGTTTGAATCTCTATATCTGGCCCCTACTTTGTTCCTTTATTGATCTGTTTTATTGTAGAAATTGTGTTTATAAAAATTATATGGCACGTATAAACTTATTTGGTCATGATGTGTTTCTGTTTTTTAATTTAGTGTCTTAGAAAATAAAAATTCTGGGCCTTACTTGTTTTTTCAACGACAGTTTTGGTCTTCAGTTAAGGTATGTATCAGTAGGCTAAAAGATTTTAGCTTTTGTTTGGAAAGGATTTTTATTAACTATTATGAACAGAAGCTCTACTTTACAAATTAATTTTATTTCAGAAGTTCACTTGGGTTTGATTTCCACAATACAAAATGAATTCAGTTTCAAATTAAGGCTCAAGCTACACAGTAAGCTGCCTAACTAACGTATAACTAATTTATTCAGCTCATGGAGTACCAGAACTTCTGCTGAACGTCAGGGATATGTCACTATAGCTTTCATGGAGTTTACAGTTCAACATAATAGATGACAAACAGGTAATCGCAGATGTGCTGAGTTATAAAGGGGGATTTGCAGTTGTAATTTACAGCTGCTGCCAAGAACTCAAGATTTCTTCTCAGGGGATCCTCTGCTACCCTGAGGAATTAAATAGAATTTGGCTCTGAGGTGATGGAGAGCAGGCCACACTAGGAAGACTTGAAAAAAAAAATGTATAGGATAGTTTGAGTTTGGGAAGCGGTCAGGAGTCCATGAGCTTATGTGAAAGGTTGATCTTTATCCTAGAAATTTTAGGAATCCACCATACTGATTTTTCTTCCTTTCTTCTCTTTTCTCCAACCCCCTCCTCTCCCATCTCTTTGTCTCTCTTTCCTTACCTTTCTCTCCCTCATTCCCTCTTTCCTCCTTTCTTTTTCCTTCCCTCCTTCCCTCTTCTTTCCTTTTGCTGTGTAGTTAATGTGAGTTCTCATGAAAGAATATAATGATTATATTCATGTCGTTGCTTCCAAAATGAAAGGCATGTTACACTTGCAATGTCCCAGAAATTCCTTGTATAGTCAAGCCTACATCTTATTGCTGGCCATCTCCCAATCTGTTTATGTCTTCTGGTTTTCTTTGCAAGAATGTCTTATCAATGGAATTGTAGACCATTTTGAGTCCTAACATAATGCATTTGAGACTCAATCTATTATGAGCACTATCAGTAGTTCACAGCTTTTTATTGCTGAGTAATATTCTACCATAAGGTGGATGAATATACCTGAGTTGTGTTTTTCTATTGTGTTGTTTGCTCTCTATTCCGTAGTTGAAGGAAATTTGGATTGCTTCCATCTTGGGGTAATTGTGAATATAGCTGCTACAGGGATTTCTGAGTTGGTAGGTTTTCATTTCACTTGAGTGAAGTAGGCAAGGCTGTTTTCCAGAGTGGCTGAGGCTGGGCCATTCTGCCTTCTCCCCTACCATGTGAACATTCTTGTCCTGCTTTCTCTCCCATATAGGATATTGCCAGTCTTGTGGAGCCTATTTTATTGTGCTTCTTTGCCATCTGTCTTTTCAGATCCTTTGCTCATGTATTAAATTGTACTGTTTTACATTGAGCTTTGAGTTCTAGGGAGAAGTCCTTTGTCAGAGGCTGTTTACTTTTGTGGGTTTTTTTAATGTGTAATGTTTCTTGTAACAAGCATTCCATGTATAGAAGACTTCTATTTTGATAATGTCTGCTGTATCACCTTATGCTGTTAAGAGTTGTACTTGAGATGCTGTACCTAAGAAATCAGTATTCACTAAGGTTTTAGTTTTACATTTAGTTCTATGATGTTTTGATTTAGTTTTTATTGTGGGTGTGAAGCTTGTTTTAAAGTTCCTTTGTTCCAGCACCATTTGTGATAGAGATTGTCTTTTCTTGAATTGCTTTTATACTTTCATTGAAAATTGGCCATATATGTGAGGGTGTGGGAACGTTTTTAGCATGAAGGAACATAAACAAATTGCTATTTTTATTATTTTGTTTTTTGGAGGGACTGGTATTTGGATTCAAGGCCTCATATATGCAAAGGCAGGTGTTCTTGCGCTGCCTCCTGAGTAGCTCGGGTTAGTGTGAGCTATGGTACCTGCTCCGCATTTTATTAAGCTCTACATACATTTATTATTGTTTTTTTTTTTTTGTGCTTGTGTTTTTCTTTTGGTGACAACTAGGTGTCAAATTAGGCCCTATACATTCTAGAGAAGCAATGTACCACTGAACCAGCCCTTCAGCCTTATTACTTTTAAGATTATTTTGCTTAGTATTTATTTTCTGTGTATCAAGCACTGTGCCACAACCTTTGAATATGTCATCTCTGTGAATCTTTCGTGTGGCTCTAAGGTATCTGTATTGCTCTCACACAGTGGACAAGACAGCAAGGCACAGAATAATCTGCCCAGATTCAGTCAGTATATAGTCGTAGAGCTGGGAACCAGCGTAGGCCAGTAGGTTTCTTGAGGGCTTCTCTCAACAGGGTTCTATAAGAGGATACAAAAAACCCCAAGGCCTCTACTGAGTATAATGATGGACTTGTTAATACACCAAGGATGGTGTTATATTTTCTTGGGATATATTAAGGTCTTAGGGAAAATTTAATAAAGTCATGCAAATCATTTTGTGTCAGATTATTTCTGTCATGGAACCCTGCTTGAGACAGGTTGCTGCAAAACTCACACTCATAAACACTGGAATAGCTTCAGGATACATGAAGAGATAGCAGTGTTATAGATTAGTTGAGTGTCAGTGGGAACTAGAGAGGCAGAGGTGGAATCAGTTAACTAGAGGGAGAGACCAAGAACGACCTACAGGTTTGTGGCCTTAGAAGCAGTAGTTCTCATTTTACTGAGTTGAGAAGTAAGTGGGGAGCTAGAAATTCTTGTGGTGGGATGAGATATGACTTCCATTTTATCTGATTAGTTTTTGTTTTATAGTATTGAACTTGAGTAACTTGAATTATCCAGGGAACATAACGGAGCCCTAGCTTGTAGTATGCAATGTTACAATCAGAAAAAGACAACCTCCCACCGACCCCCCCCCCCCCGCCCCTGGCTTCTTTGCATGAGTGTGTGTGTGTCTGTGTCTGTGTCTGTGTGTGTGTCTGTCTATCTATCTATCTATCTATCTGTGTGTGTCTGGACATTGGATTAGCTTAGGTATAATTTTAAACTTAAAAATCAGCATTGAAAGAATCAGCAAGGAACCAGCATTGCCCAAGTAGTACTTTCTGCACTGATAGAAAATGTTTCATATGTGTCCTGAGCAATACAGTGGCCACCAGCTATGTGTGGTTACTTAAATCTTAGCTAATTAAAGTTCAAGTGCTTACTAATAGTTTGGGAAACATCTACTGTATGTCCTGTTTTACTTTGTAATTAAATGCACTTTGTGCCTCATTTAACATTGTTTCTTATTTTCTTTTTCTTCCTAGCTATTGGGAAATTTTCTTCAGTGGTATGGCATTTTTTCAAATAAAACACTGCAGGAGTTATCAATAGATGGTTTATTAAATAGATACATCCTTATGGCCTTTCAGAATTCAGAATATGGAGATGACAGCATCAAAAAAGCCCAAAATGTGAGTTAAATGACCTATGTTCTAGTATTTAAAGTCCCTGGATTAAATGTATTGTTTTCTTAGTTTGTGAGGGGAATGAGAACTGTATAAATTCCCTTTAGTTATTGGGTATGATGTGAGGAAGACTATGTCTTGACCCTCCATGTAGTCCCAATCCCCTCATTGTTACATGACAGTCTATAAATGTATATGTACATGCCTGTTTATATCTATTTTTGTAGGTATTAGCAAAACTATACTGAATAAATAATATTTTCTACTTATGTAAGTCACACTATTTGATAAAATACACCCCTCCCCCCCTTTTTTTGGTGGTGGTACTGGAGTTGGAATTCAGAGTTTCATACGTGCTAGCTAGGTACTGTCTAGCAGTTGAGCAATACCTCTAGCTTGCAAAAGACATTTTGAAACAAAATTAACAAAAGTTTGCAAGTAGCACTGCACAATTTTTCCTTTGAAAAATCAGTGTATTAGATACTATCCCCAACACCAAATAATTGATATTAGGCTACGTGATTAGGATGTCATCATAACATCAGGAAAATGAACATTTATGTGTTACTTGTTCCTAATCCTTTGGAAAACTTTCCAGTGTACATTTGTCACTATGTCAGAACATCTTTCACTGACAAAAGAAATACCCTAATCATGTATTGCATTTAATTAGCATAGTTTTTTTAATGCAGAAGTTTTTCGGCCTTCCTTTGACCTTGTTAACCTTGATATTTCTGAACTTATTTCTGAACATGATAGGCCAGTGATCTTATAGAATGTCCTTCAGTTTGGTTTTTTCTGATAGTTTCTTGATTAGATTCAAATTCTGTGCCTTTGGCAGAAATTGTTGCAGATTTTCCTTGTAGATTTCACTCTGTAAACTTAGGAAGTGTTCACTCATTTTGAGAGGGGGGTGTTTCTTCTTTCTGGTGTGAGCTGTTCTATTTCATTATGTACGTGCTTTGTTCTAGCCCTGGAATCAGGCATTGCTCGAGTGACCCCTTGACTCTTGTAGTGGTGAGCCTTCTCTACCTATTTGATCACCCATGTCAGGCAGACCTGTCCCATGAGAGAATAAGTCTCACCCTTAAGCTTTGGCACTGCCACAGTCCCCTATTTACCTTATTAAGAAGGCCCTTGCCCTGGACTATACCTCTGGGATGGATGCTCTAACCATACTTGAGGGCAGCTTGACTTACCACCTGCGTGGAAGTCACTAAGTTGTGGAATGTTTGTGCGTGTGGTTTTGTACCAAAAGTTTCTCATGAAGGATAACTCAAATTTGCTCAGGGTTTCCTAGAAGACTGACCAGTCAAGCCATTGATTGTTCATTTTATGTCCCTAATTTATTTAAATACCAGACAATGTTTTTAAAATTTTGCTTTGTAATATTAATATGTTTAAAAAATCCCTTCAGAATAAATAATTATTATAGTTTAATGGTAAGTCTTTAAGTACATTATCTCTAGTATACATATTCAGCTTATAGACATATTTCTTTACTGTGTTTTAACTATTTTATTTTACGTGTTTCTTCTACATAGGTAATAAATTGTTTCCCCAAACAGTGGTTCATAAATCTGAAAGGAGAAAGAACTATTTCTCAATTAGAAAACTTTTGCCGATACCTTGTACATTTAGCAGATACAATTTACAGGAATAGCATTGGATGCTCTGATGTGGAAAAAAGAAATGCAAGGTGATGTTTTTATAACTTATTGGAATAGTGATGTTGAATTTCTTTAGTTTTCAGTTTTACTGTTATTTAAATGTTTTAAGTGGAGTTATTTTCAGTTAAATTATACATTTACTTAGTATTATGAGACTAAACGCCTGCAAGTAGGGCTGGGAAGGTGGCTTAATGGTAGAGCGCTTGCCTTGCATGCATGAGGCCCTGGGTTCAATTCCTCAGCACCACATAAGCAGAAAAAGCCAGAAGTGGCGCTGTGGCTCAAGTAGTAGAGCACTAGCCTTGAGCTGAAGGTGCTGAGGGACAGCACCCAGGCTGAGTTCAGGCCCCACGACCGACCAAAAAAAAAAAAAAGCCTACAAGTAGAGTCTTTTTTTTCTTCTTTTTGTTGTTCTTTTTGTAACCGTACGGGGGATTGAAGTCTGGGCCCTCTATTTTGCAAAGCAGAGGCTCTATTTCTTAAGCCACGCCTCCAGACTGTTTTCCATTGGTAATTTTAGAGGTAGGATCTTGCCTACCTCAAAAATTGTGATCCTCTAACTTACGCTTTTGCATATGTTATCCTTAAGGATAACAGGCATATGTGACATCACAGGTACCCAGCTCTTGGGCTTCTGCTGTAGCTGGGATAATAAATGGGCACATACTATTTTGCTGAGGGGTGTCTTGTGAACTTTTTCCCAGACTGGCCTTAAAACTGCGAAACATTTCCATCCCCTCAAGGAGCTAGGATTACAGGCTTGACGCACTGAGCCCAGACATTTTGGGAGTTTTAATGTCTTTCCAATGAATGTTAAAATCATGTTGATTAGGGAAGGATATATACAGCAAGGATCAGCTCTCTGGAATGAGTATACTATTGTTTTTTGTGTCTCTTTAGTAAAGAATTGGAGCAATCACAGGATCTTAGAATAGAACAAATTTTGGTCCTTAGAGCTTCATTATATAGCTATATCCTGGAAAATATGGCCATGTATCCCAGCATGTTAGGATGTGAAGGCAGGAGGATCTGCAGTTTGAGGCAAGCCTGGTCTAACTACCTTGTGAGACCCAACTTCCAAGCTTTTCTGCTCCATGTTTCTTTGTGTATTTCATGGAGCAAAAGTTTTCTTTGGGAATACCTATTATGTCTGATTTTTATCCAAAGTGCTAGGAAGGTGTGTGAGTCATTTTCCTTTCTCTGGGCATTGATGTGAATGCCTGTGTAATTGTGGGATAAATGTCTAACATAAAAATTATTAGTACTATTAACTTATTAACTATGATTAATTATAATTAACTTAGATAATAATTACTAGTGTGGTTTAAAAGATTTTCCTTATTAAATTTTGATTTCATATATTCTTAATATCTGTTTTGGTCTGATCACATTAGAAAAGAAAACTTGTGACAAATTGTTAATGAAAGAACCATGTAGCAAGATAACTTGTTTTTTCATGACAAAATTAAAACAGGGCAGATGGATAGTAATGGTACTAGATAAGTGGTAATGATAAATTCTGAGACATATAATGTTGGTTTATATTTTTATTTTGTGTATTTTGGTATCAGTTATTTGCTGTTTTTCTCTGTGTTTTTTTCCTATCACTTTTTAAACTGATTTACATAAACTTAGCAATTTTTTTTTTTTTGGTGGTTAACTTTCAACAAACAGTATTTGCTGCTCTATAGAGCTTCAGCCACTATTTAAACACCTGCTATATGTTATACAGAGAGTGGTTCCCTGTGGGTTCCAAAGTTTTACAGATTTTAAACTCTCCCTAAAAGATACTTATTACTAAGATTTAATAGAGCAATGAGAAAAGTGGTTCAGCCTTTAACCAGAGTCATTCTTCAAGAGGGCTTCCTGAATCAGCAGCATCAGTACCATCTGAGAGTTGTTCGAAATAGATTCTTAGGCTCCACTGACTGAATCATAACCACATTGTGCTAGGTGATATGTGTTCACTAATCCTTTAGTTAATTCAGATGTTGCCAAACTTGAGTTTTTCATCATTAGGTAGGGTGACTTCCAGCTAGGGTGCAAAGGAAAGCCAAATTCTGCTTTGTTTAGTGAATGTCTTAGGAATGGAAACTCTGCATGATCTGGGTGCACTTGTGGTAAAAGGCACATAGATATATTTTATGTTGCAGCTATACAAGAGCTGGAACTCTGAGTTGGGAAGGAAAGGGAGACAGATCTGCAATGGAGTTTACAGAGTGATCATTTGCTTTGCAGATATTGATGAATGTCATTCATATAAAATTGTTTTGGTTTCATGTCTCTGGGCCAGTTATTTAAACATTTACATGTTTTATGTGGATAAATACCAGATTTTTTAAAACATTCTTTAATTTGTATGTATGCTATATGTATCTTTATTGCCCATTCTTTAAAAAATGTATAATTAGAAAAATTGATTTGAAGAATATTTTCAACTGTATTAATGATATACTACATTTTTTTTTCTTTTAGGGAAAACATAAAACAGATAGTAAAACTTCTTGCCAGTGTTCATGCCTTGGATCATGCTACATCTGTTGCAAGTGATCACAATGTAAAGGAATTTAAGTCATTGGTTGAAGGAAAATAGATCTGTGAGACTGGAAAGCTTATTTGCTTTTAATATCATTCCTAGTGTATAAATTTTGTAAATATGTAAAGTTTCTTAAATTGTAAAATACTAATTCTCATTTTAATACAAAAATCCATTATATTCAATACTGTGTCCTTAAATGCAGTTTCTTCAGAATGAAAGGAATTCAGATTATTTCTAGGAGTCTATGAATGTTTTCCTTACTGCCTGTCATACTTTGTTTACAAAAGTATTTTGTATGGTCATTCAAATTTACCCTCTCATTTAACTGTCCTCTATAAACGATGTGTGCAGTGTAAATTATGTAATTATGCATATATATACATATATATATATATTTATACCACCATGGACCTTGACACTGGAAATGTGTGGTGTTTTTCTACAGAGGAAGCCTTTAACAGCAGAAAATGATCCAGTAGCAAATTGTCTTAGAAAAATTTTGTTGCAACAAAAGGGCTGGCAAGTGACTAAATAAATGTTCATCTCCTTGGTTAGCCTTGCTGTCACTCTAGCTGTGCTGCCTTAAATTGAGAGTTTAGTTATGGACTTAGTCATTGAGTGAATGTTGACCTTTCTTCATTGAATCATCACTGTAGGCAATTGTGGGTTTAATGTGAACTCAAAATAATATATGCAATATAGATTCAGGTGGAGCATAGAATTTTTATAAGCCCACAATCTAACTGCATGGTTTAAACTGACTGTCCTGTCTCATACATTTTTATTTTTTTACTCCCTGCCAAGATTACAGATACATGCATTTGAATTTTAGTAGTCTTATCATATTTTAAATCCCACATATGTGAGTTATATATGCAATAAAGAATACGCCTTGCTGATTAGCCACACACAGGCAATTTAATATCCATGGTCTTCTATAATGTTTATACCACGTTGTAAATATTCAGAGAACTTGTTTTAAAGTTTATGCTTTCTGATTCTGTGATTTTCAAAAGAGGAACTTTTTGGAAATTAAGGACTATTGTTTGATAATTATACATGTAATTAAGCTTTAGCCAAGCATTAAATTAATTTTTAAGTATATTCTCTGTTGTACTTTGCTGGTGACTAATTTTAGAGCATTTCATATAACCCTAGTATAGTGAGAAACTGTGAACTGTTTTATGTGTGCCCTTGACCAAGGCAAATAGTATTTAGAAGTGTCATACACTATATCAACTTATCTTTTTCATAAAAAGCTAAATCCATGCTCTTCAGAATTAAAGTCAGAACACTTGATCATCATCAGTGGAATAAAACAAATATGCATATGTATTCAGGACTTACACAATGTTTCCAAACCAAATAGGCCATTGCTCTTCTTCTGTTTAAGAATTCTTCCAGGAAGTAAACTCACGCTTTTAACATATGAAATTCATTGAGTTTCTTGGGTTTCAAGATTGAACACTGCAGTAGGATTTTAATGCAAGGTGAATTTAGGATAAGACTATATAAAAGAAGTGGTCTTCATATCTCAGTCAGGCAATTTTCATTCCTAAACTAATGGCTAAAGGACATTATTTCTTAAGAACGGAAATCCCCATTTGCTATAATGAACTACTTCAAATTGATTTGGTGGCTTAAAACAGCAGAAATTAGTTCAGAGTTCTAGAGGCTGAAAATTGCTTATCTGGAAATTATTTATTTATTTTTGTCAGTTTTGAGGCTTGAACTTGGCCTGTGAACTGTCCTTGAGTTTTCTGCACTCTGCCACTTTGAGCCACAGCTCTACTTCCAGTTTGGTTAAGTGGAGTCTCTTTCTTGCCTGGGCTGGCCTTAAACCTCAATCCTCAGATCTTGGTCTCTTCAGTAGCTAGGACTATAGGCATGAGCCACCAGCATCTGGCTTCAAATTGTTCTGATGGCTGCTGATGTCCTGGGTTTTTGTCATATTACTCCAGTCTCTGCATCTGTCTTCACACATCACCGTCCCCTGAGTGTCTTAATTTTTCTCTACCTCTATCAGGTAGAGAAAATGAGAATAATCTCAAGATCTTGAATCCAGCATATCTGTAAAGTTTTTTTCTACCAAAATTGCTATTCATATGCTTGAAACATTAGAATATGGAATTTTTGAGGGGAAGTGGTATTGCTTTTTAGGTTATCACCAGCCTCTCTCAGTTGCCCAAAGTCAAAAGAGTGTTAAACTCTCACTAGGAAGTTTACATGCCACTTAACCTGTATTTTGTCACCCTAAAGACACTTCCAAGTTTGTCTAGTTGTTTTCAAGTGCTGTAACTAAAGCAGTGTATAGGAAATTTGCACAGGAAAAAAATATATAAGTACCTTGTACTTTTAAAACCCTGCATGTATTATTTAGTGACAAATTATCTGTTCTGAGAGGATATGGGAAAGCTACGCATCTCTAGGAATGGGTACTGCTACTCCAGGTTTAACTGGAAAACAACAATTACAACGCAAGGTTTAAGTGTTGGTTTTTTTTTTTTGTAATTGTACAACGGTTTTAATTTAATTTTTCTTAATGGCTAAGTAAGATTGCTCACTTAATTTTTTAAAAGTGATGTACAGAGGGGTTACAGTTACGTAAGTTGGATTAAGTAAGTGTACATTTGTTTTTGGACAATATCACCCCTTCCCTCACTTCCAGTATAAGTTTTGACTTTAGTACAAAAGTTTTTATTTTGTACAAAATCAGAAGGAACCAGGAATAGGCAGAACATTGTTTAGAAAGAGCTTAGTGTTCATGGGTCCCCATCTTAAGAAAGGAAGGGTTTCTGGTGCTGGTGCAGCTTCACAATGACTGATGTGAAGTCTTCTTGGGTTTGGGGTTAAAGGCCTTTTAAGTGTTAGATTGTTCCTTCATGACAATTGAAATAAGTTTTACAAAAAGGTATCTTCCAAGTGATACGCACAATTCACTAAGGTCTTGCCTGAATCTTTTTTTTGTATGTACCAGGGTTATAAAAGGCACTGAACTTGAAAATTGCAATTAAGAAAAATTCTATTCTCACTTAACTCCAATTTAGGTTTCTCCTCCTCTTCCCCCCACAAGTATGCATTCTGCAAATGAAACAGATTGTTCTGGAAAGGAAAATGTGTACAGCCAGAGTCCAGTAGACTAATATTTAGTTTAGTACTAAGGCTGCTGTGGGTAATCACTACAAAGAGCAAAAAGATTTTCTAGGGAGGTGAGACAGCCAGATGAGAATGAGATGAAAATCTCTAGTTGTCAGAACTAAATCTATGTTTGATTTCCCCTTTTTTGACTTGGAAGTGGTGTCTTGCCTAATACATTTTAGCTAATTTAGTATCCTGAAAACAGCTCCCCTAAAATGGAGAAATGTCACATGACAGAGCCCAGAGGAGGAAATGGTATTGTGCAACATAATGAATTTAAAATCTGCTTTTGCTGATAAAATAATACCAAGAAGGGGAAGTGGTTTAAAAAAAATGGTAAAGGCAAGTGGAAATATTTTTGGTGTGCTGGGTTCTTCGGGTTTGCAATGGAACCCGAGGATGTCTGAAATGCAAACCAAATATGCAGGCATGATCTGCTGAGCGACGCAGATGAAGACTTGAGCCCTTTTAAATCCCGTGGTTGGCGGGCACTACTCGCCCTCCAGTGACCCGGGTGTGTTTTAGCTCTGCTCTGGGGGTCCTGGTCGGCGGTTCCCCGTCTCCTGGGCAGGTACAGCCGACCCCAGAACAGGTAGAGAAGAGAACATTTCCAAAGTAGGCCTCCGTGTTCATCCCGCTTCCCCGCTGGGCGCCGCGGGCGGGAGCCACCATGGACAGCTCTCCAGGCGCCGCGCGGTGGGCGCGGGCGCACACGGTCCGGCGGGGGCGGCCGCGGGGGCGGCGAGGGGTGGTCCCGGGGCCCAAGTCGGGCACGACACGACACTCAGCCCCCACAGCTCTTCCCGGGAGTCCCTCCCCAGCGCCCACGGGGGGCCCCGAAGAGCCCACGTGAGGGGCCAGATCCTCCCTCTCCCGGCATTCTCGGCAGTGACACCGGCGTGTGCGATCCGAGCAGCGGGCCGCACGCGAGCCAAGGTCGCCGCAGGTGGGGGCGCGGCCTCAGTGGGTGCCCCGCGCGCGCCCGCGGGGCGGCCGGGCGAGGTGGGGGCCGCTCCGGACGCCCCGCCCCTTCCCCCGCAAGGGGCGGTCCTTCCGCCCCCGGCCGCAGTGCAATGCGGAAGAGATGGGCCTGCTGGGGCGGAAGTGACGTTTCGGGCGACTCCGGCGGCTGCGGGAGGAGGAGGAGGAGGAGGAGCCGGAGGAAGAGGTGAGGTAGCCGGCGGGGGGGCGGGGAGCAGCCGCCGCGGGGACCCACCGGCGGCGCGGACGGGAGGACGCGCTCCCTGGTCGTCTCCATCGCCGCCGCGTCCGCGGGGACCGGTGAGGGACGGCTGCGGGCAGCCCGGCGGGGCTGAGGGCGGCGGGGGGGCGCGGGCCGTGGCGGCGGGCTGAGGCTGTGGTGACAGCGCCCGGCAGCCTGCGGGCGGGCAGGAGCCCCTTCAGGCCGGCCGGCGGGACGTCCCTTCAGGCGCGTGATGGAGGCGACGGGCTGCCCGGCATCCCCGACCCCTCTGGGCGGCGCCGCTTCCCTCGGCGGGCAGCCGCTCGGGAACCCCCGGCTCCGCGGTCGAGCCGGCGCCCGGAATCGTGACTCCTCCGCGGCGGCCCTTCCCGCGGACGGGCTCCGCTGGCCGCGGCGGCCCCGGGCTGGGCGGGGGCCGCGGTGACCCGCGTCGCTTCCCGGCCCCGGCGAGCCCGCGCTGTGGGATAATCCGTTCCCTCTCCGGGCCCCCTAAGGAGCTTTTCCACCCACCTGGTTCACCTTCCCCACCCCCCCCCCCCCACCGCTAAGGCTCCGCTGGAACTTTCCCAGTCATTTCCCTTCAAGCCCTGAGACACATCTTGAAAGCTGGAAGCGAATGACCAACCCCGAAGGAAAACACGCTCAAAAAAAAAAAAAAAAAAATCTTGCCTTTCGGCAGACATAAATGGGAAACTCATCTTCACCAAACCTGAACTTGCAGTGTTACCCCTGTTTTGTCTTCCTCTGAGAATTTACTAGTTTTCCTTCCCCCCCACCCCCCGCCCGTGGTGGTGGTGGTGGTGGACGACTTACCTTTTGGAATAAACCATTCACCCCGACCTTCCTCTCCCTTCATTCTCCCTCATCTCCCCCCCCCAACCCATCCAAACCTGGCAGGGAGGGGATCTCTGCGTGCCTTGCCATCTCCGCAATTTCATTTGCTTCGCATGCTTTTCACAGGGTTTCCTCTGAAGAAAGGAGAATGGCGTTCAGCAAAGGATTTCGGATCTATCACAAATTGGATCCTCCACCTTTCAGCGTCATAGTGGAAACGAGGCATAAGGAAGACTGTCTCATGTTTGAGTCCGGGGCTGTGGCTCTCCTCTGTAAGTCATGTTATAGCTCAACTATCCTGGCCTCTTGATTTGAAACTTAGATTCAGCAGATTTCGGGAGATGAGGGGGAAATGGGGGGGGAGGGAAAGACTGATAATGCGCTCACTGAATTTCATGATATCTTAATTTCCTGTAAACTTCCTGTTGGAAGGTGCAGATTTCAGATACAGGACTAACTTTTCCCCTCTGCTTGGGGTGCTTCCAAAAGTGTGTGGTTTTCCAAAGAAATATTGTTGCAATTATGTCATATCCCACAAACCCATAAACTACCTTGCTTGGCCTTTTAACCATAGTGAATAAAAATAATATCTAATATCGTTGGAGTTTCTTATGTTTAATTCTTGCATTTTCATTAATAGAATTTTAAATTCTAGAATTTCAAGTGCAATATGATTTCAGATTACTTACTGCTTGGCAAAAAAAGAGGTTTGGGTTATTCTGTGGCAGATGGCTGAAATTAAAAATAAGATTAATTTGAATATTATGTTTGTTCTTAATATAATATAGAGGCAAAACCCCTTGGTAGTTGTTGTTTGAAATATGATAGCTTATTTTTAGCAGCTTTCTAGTGATGACTACCTGTTCTTTATCTTTGCTGTTTATTTCCTAACATTTAAAAAAGTAAAAATAGTATAAATAAAAATTAAAAATAAATAATAGTATAAACTCAGTTGTTCCAAGGGTTTTATTTGTATTTAAGTAAACCCAAAAATACCATGTTACATTATTAATCTGTAGTACATACTTTTCATGCTACAAATGTACTTCTTATACTAAAAAATTCTTCAGTAAAAAATGGGTGTGGAGGTTTGGTTTACTATGTGAAACAGTCTCAGCTGCTTATTAATCTTACCCAAATTAATGTTCCTTGTCTTTTTAAAAATATATATTATTTTTTAAGACATGATCCCCTCTGTAGCCCAAGCTAACTCCAAATTCATAATTCCCCTACCTCATCCTCATGAGGGATTGTAAGTGTATACCGTCATGCTCCACTCTTATCTGTCTTTAAAATTGTGCTTACTCATAATTGAAAGGAAAATCATATTTTTATTACAAAGTGTGTATTTCCTATACTTTTAGGATTTTTCCTATACTTTACCCCAAGGTCAGGAAACCTAAGAATAATCATTCTAAAAATCCACTACAGTCATCTTTATGCCAAATAATGATTTAGAAAAGAGTCCAAAGCATCCATCTTGGTATTATTTTTCATTTTAAGGAGGAAGAATATTAAAGCATTATTTTAATTATTTTATTTATTTTCAAGGCTGGGGACCCAATCTAAGACATCATACATGCTAGGCAAGCATTCATCCTCTGATCTTTATTCCCAGTTCTTAACTATTTGTCTTTATTATTTGAAGCTAAATAATTCAGTACAAAGTTGCAATGTTGCTTTTCTCTCTAATGTAAATGGATATATAATTTCTCTCATACTATGTAAACTGAAGATTTAAGGTACATTTCATACTCTTAAATTTAATTTTTAACTGATAAAAGCATAAAATGGTATTTGTGAGGTAATTGATATTTCAAAATATTTACTAATATACATTATATAATGGTTAAATTAGACATTTATTTATGATGAAAATATACAAAATCCTTTCTTTTAACTTTATGGAGTATACAGAACATTATTGTGTTTATAGGCACTATACTGTGGAAAAGTAAAATATTGATATTTAATCCCTAACAACCTTTTTTTTCATATGAACAATTTGCCTTATAAAATGAGCTTGGCAGGGCTGGGAAGATAGCTAAGTGGTAGAGCAGTTGCCTTGCATGCATGAGGCCCTGGGTTCGATTCCTCAGCACCACATAAGCAAAAAGAAAAAAGCCAGAAGTGGCGCTGTGGCTCAAGTGGTAGAGC